GTTTCCACCCTGCACACAGCAAGTCAGCGCTTGCCCCGGCCTCCTGGACTGCCCCCGGCCCAGCCCGGCACTGCGCAGCAGTATTGTGGGCCATGCAGGACGATGCCAAGACACGAGGCACAACCGGGGTGCAGGGCAGCGGGAGGCTTCCCCGCGTCCTTCCAGGCACCCCGGCCCTGAGGCCTAGGGACCTGACGGAGGTGCACGGAGCCACGTTGATGGAAACGCGGTCACAGCTCAGCACACCGGCTCTTACACCCCGACACGGGGACACATCAGCACTCGAGGTGCCTCTGGGGCGCTCCTGGGCACTGCCTGCCCTTCCTTGGCCCCACACAACAGCCCTGAGTCCCCAGGCACAAACCCACTTGCTAAGAGCACCATGAGCTCCGGGAGCTCTTCCCCGGGCACCACCCTCCCTGCAAGACAACGTGATCGGCCGCAGCGGCACCCGGGGCAGAGGATTTTCCTCATTCCAAAGCTCCCAGCACCACCAGACCTCCCAAGGGCAACCGCAGGGAGCTCTGGGGTGCCCAGGCTGAAGAGCCCAGAAAAATGAGGCGCGAGCCCTGAGTCACAGGGAGCTACCACAGCACAAACCGCACAGAGCAGCTCCGCTCTCACCCACGGGCCCCGGGATAACACCCATGGGCAGGGAGGGCATGAGCGCCGCTGGAGCACCCTTCTGCGGGGTAACAGCCCGAAACCTTCCCAAAGGGCCCAAAGCGCCGGCCTCTCCCAGCCCCAGCAAGTTCCTACCCACCCGCTCCCCCGCAGAGCCCCGCGCCGCGTCCCGGCCTGCGCCCCTGCGCACACGGCGCCCTGGTCCCGCGGGGCAGGGGCAGCCCCGGAGCCTGCTGTGCGCGTGGAGCCGCCCGCGGCGACGCCAGGGAGGGCAACTGCTCCCGCTGCCCACAGGGCTAGGGCCTTGTGCCCGGGCGTGGTGTCAGCGAGGGGCTTAGGAGGATAATCCGCTCGGCAGCGCGTCCCAGGCCTGACGTGTGCCGGGAAAAGCCGCGGGAGCAGATGGCACCAGGGGCCGGCAGAGCCTGGGGCTGCTAATCCCGGGCGTCTTGCGGCGCACGAGAGCGGCCGCCTCCTGCCCGGGGCAGCCACAGGAAGGGCACAGGGCCCCGAGAGCCCCTCTGGGGGTGCTGAAAGGTCTGAAGCAAAATTCTGCTAGATTTAAAGCTTGCCTTGTTCACCTCCAGAATTAGCCAGCTTTCTTAATACAATTGACCAAAATTGAAAAAAATCCCCCGTGTCCAAGCTCCGGGCTCTGCCCTCCGCTGAGGCCTGGGAAGGGCCCTGGCAGGCGGCGCCGTCCCGCGCTGCTCCGGCTCCCGCTCTGCCGTTCCCACCCGGCACCATCTCCCCTGGTGGACATGGGGGCTCCGATGCGTCTCCCCGTGGGGGGTCGGCATCTGGTAGCAAATTAGCACCCAAGGGGACTAATTAGTGCCCAAGGGGAGGACTGGGCAGATGTGGGCTCCGCATCAGGCACCGCGGTCAGGAGCTCCGCCGTGCCTAGTGGAAGGATTTCCCTTCGGAAAGGAAATGAAGCAAGGGCAAAAGGAGGACAAGCGGCTGCAATTCTCCACCTGCCGCCCATAGCAGCAAATGTCAAGGCTGGCAGAGGAGGCACAAGGCCCTGAGGAGGATTTTCCCTCCCTGGTGGCTCTAGCTCTTCCTCTGTTCGTAGATACCCAACAAGTCACTTAGCTGAGGACAAACAGTGAAGTTGGGCAGGGGCTTCCTGCTCCTCTGTCCTCTAAGCACAGAGTCTCTTCTGCCTTCCCCTGTTCCTGACACACTCATTCCAGGTGTGTCCTACCATGAGCCCTACCCAAGACTGCCGCGTAAGGCTAGTAAGAGGGGCAGATGCTATTACACCTCCAAAGCTTCCCCAACTTGCTGCTATGGGGCCGAGGGGTGAAATCCACCCCTGGAGAATGGCAGCAAGCAAAGCCTAGCACCACCCAGGTGTGAGACGTGACTTCCCAGGACAAATTTCCTGCAAATTTTCCAGGACGAATCGCCTGGCTCCGGCCTTGCAGGTGCTGCAGGGAAGAGGGAGCTCCAGGAGGGCTCCGCGGAGCGGGAAGCCAGGACAGGTCGGGGCGTTTGAGGAGCAGGAGCCGCGTCCTGGTGCGAGGGGCGGCGGCGGGAAGGGGCTCGGAGCAGCAGCTGCGCGAGCCGGAACGGGCCGGGGGGTCTTGAAAAAGAGTAAAATTGACAAAAGCAAACTAAAAGCAGCTTCCAGGGACATGAAGCGTGCACAACCTCGGATCAAATCCAGACAATATTTATAGCCAGAAGAGGGAGGATTCCCAAGTGCCATTTTTACATTTTAGAAGACTTATTTTTTTCTAATGTCTACATGAGAACGTACTGGTTCCTTTCCGGAGAGGTCGCCTCCGCTTTACAAAACGGTGCAGCAACGCAGGAAGGGTTAAGCAACGTGCAAAGTCTGCACCAGACACCCCCAACCTCACTGCTGCAGTTTGACAGACACAATTTTCCTCTTCCCGATGGGATTTTGGCCCACAGTGGGGAAGGCCGCTGTTATCCAGGCGCTCCCGCAGCCGTGGAGCAGCCCGGGGGCCGTGCGACACTTGTCTGCGTTGGTTAGTGTGGCCTGGGCAGGTCAGGTCGTGCGCCGGTTCAGAGCATTTCCTTAGGGCTGAACCCTTCATGCCCTGCTCGCAGGCTCCCCATTGCTCTCCAGAACAAGTATTTTAGTGCTAAACATTTTTTTTCTAAAAATCTTAATTCCTACAAGCAGATCAGCAACTTTTCCTTTCTCCATCCAGAAACTGTGCCTGCATCTACCCAGAACGGGTTGTTGGACAAGTCACTCACCTGCTCCTGAAGCCAAGAGCTGCTCATTTCCCTCCCACCCCAGCAGCCCATAACCCACCAGCCCCCTAAGGTGCTTTTATTGTGTAGCTCCCCTTTTAGGCCATAGGAACAGGCCTCAAAGCCGAGACAAAGTTTAATCCAACCCTCCCACTTCGGAGCAGACCGGGCTTGGATTCATCCTATAGCTGAAAGGGCTGGACGTGTCCAGCTAGGAAGCAGGTCCAGGAATGGAGACATCTGTGTAAATGGAATAAAGTGCTAGCCTAAGATGGGCTGAAAAAAACGATGTTGCGAAAGCACCCTGAAATGAGGCAGATGTGCCCTGGGGTTTTATCCCACACAGGTGCAGGAATGGGCCAAAAGTCTAGGGAATTAACTGGAAAGCAAGAGTGTGGAAAAAGAAAAAGGAAAGAAAGAGCAAAGGAAATTCTTTCTTTCTTGTCAGTTGTCAGAATCACTTCCCTTCTGCGCGCACACGCAGGAGGGAACGCGCTGCTGAGCAGAAACTGAGCTCAAACAGGTCGACTTCTTCGGCCAAGCTCTGCAAAACCCATTCGCGGTGCAAAGGAAGACGGCTGCAGTCAGCGGCCCACGCTGGAACATCTCGCTTGTGATGGGTGGTGCGATTAAACTGAAACCTAAAAAAAGCTCAGACGGCCTCGTAGCTGCCGCTCGGCTGCTAGACCCCATGGCAGGAAAAGCCCGAAGAGACGTTTTACCCCCTTTCCCCCGGCGCCCCTGCCGGGGGGGAGCCGCCGGCAGCGCCGGAGCCCTCCTCTCCTGCTGCCTCCCGGGCTGCAGAGCGGCGCTCGGCGTCACGGCGTTCCCATGCTCCGACAACACGCGCAGCCGCTCAGCGATACCCGCGCTGCCGTTACCGCTACTTGTCATCTGCCTGATGAGCAATTCCTATTTGCATAATGTCTGGGGCCTCTCTGACGCAAGGGGCCAGAACAGGGCTCAGGGGGTTTTTTTTTAAGGTCATTGTAGGGTGAACGCGTTGCTCGTGCAAGGCAGGCGCCAGCGACAAGCCGGACGCAGGACGCTGCAGCTCACATGGTCACACTGCTGCACCTCTGGTTTCTCCCCCCCGTCTGCCCTGTTTCCCCACAGATTCCACTGCAGACCATCCCCCGGAGCAGCCCTGGGCTCCCATGACTTTTCTTGGGGAGGGACAAGAGACATATGATTAAGACAGGCAGGTCACTGTAACCCAAAATCCAGAGCTCTGGAGCATTTCAGCTTAGGAAGCTGCTGCACTAACTCACTGTTAGAGTGCTTGTAAAATATATTTAGTACATTTTGTCCAGTTTATTGCAAAGTCTCCTAGCTGAGAAGGAATTTAATTTAATATCCTTGACACTGGGCTTGTATGAACATCTGAACTGTTAGGTTTTGAAAACTGAGGTGCAAATCCTTTCTCCTTCCATGTCCCCCTCTGCCAGTGTGCGCACGGAGCTGACGTCCTGTGAGGGTGACTGAATTTCACACCCATTCACTGAACACTCAGGAAAAGGAGCCTATGCGAGCGCAGAAACACGCACTCAGCATCTGTCAATGTAGCACTTGCACTTTCATCCTGTTCGTTTTAGTTCCCCAAACACCTAAAGAGCCTATTCAGCCCAGACCATGCTGGAAATGCAGGCACATAAAAAGTCATTTAAAGCTCCACTTAAGGTGACTCTCAGCTTTTCTAAAAGCATTGCTCACTAAGAGAGACCTCTTAAAGGACAGCTTGCAAGGTGACTTCTTTAATGGGCTGGGAAGTGGAAAGAAAAAGTGGTATTTCATTATCCGGGAGATGCCCAGATACCACAGCAATGGGGGCTGTATAAATACCTGCATAGATTAACTAGGCTATTCCTTAGCTCACTCCTGCATCGCTGTGTAGCCCCCCAGGAAGTCACTGATCCTCCCAAGACAAATATCCTTAAGAAACTGAGCGCCTGAGTGTACTTTGGAGTAAGTGACCCGAGACGGATCCCAGCCCTGCAACAAGTGACTCCAACATCTCTGACAGTTGCGAGCAACCTCTTATGGGAACGCAGCGGACCGGCATTCCCCCGTGCTAAAGCAAGGAAAGTCACGGCCCCGTCTGTCAGGGAATTGGGCAATTTGCCCGTCCTCCAGGCTCTTACCTCAGGGGGATCTTAATAGCCAGGTACCTGTCGATGGCCACTGCCAGCAAGCTGAAAATGGAGCTTTGGGTCAGCACCAGCACGAAGCAGGCGAAGAAGAGGCAGCTGTGGAAATCCGCCTGGAAGCCGATGCTGATGGTGATGGCAAAAGGGATGGCGAGCAGACCCACGGCGATGTCGGCCACGGCCAGGGACACCAGGAAATAGTTGGTGGCGTTCTTCAAGGTGCTGTTGATGGCCACGGCCCAGCACACCAGCACGTTGCCGGCGATCGAGAGCACGGCGATGATGAGCTCCAGCGCGATGTAGGTGGTTTTCATAGTGTCCATGGCGAGCGGCCAGGCCGGGGAGCTGGAGCCGTTCATGGGAGCGCGGCGCTTCCCGCGGGTTCCGAGAGGCCACGGGGCAGCGCTGCCCGCGCAGCAACACCCATGTCCGGGCTGCGGGGCCGGAGGGGCGCGGGGGGCGCCGGGCCGCGGCCCC